ACAGACGGCTTTAGCATCCTCTTAATAAAGCTTAAAGCTCAAGTTTTACGCCTTAAGATCTTATTGTAGACGTCGCTTTACGTCGCGCCGTCGTCATTCCGGTTATGATTATTCTGCACCGGGTAATAGAACTAGTTCGCAGAATATTGACGGGGGAAATACATAGGTTTCCGCGTATACGCGCGGAAAGCCATTCGATATCCGCTTTGTAGTTCGACGCAGCGTACGTAAGGGATGCATTGCCGTTTCGGCGGCGAATCGATGCTGCGACGAATACCAAATACGTTCGTTATGTCACACGAGAGCACAGCCGCGGGCCGCGGGCGAGCTGCTGGGCGACGCGCCCGTAAACTCCCGGGCAGCGAGAGAGAGAGAGAGAGAGAGAGAGAGAGAGAAAGAGAGAGAGAGACGAGACGATCCGGTCCTCGGCGCGGCGCGGAAACAAATGTATGATATTCCCGGCGAAAAGCGGGAGCCTCGATCAACGAAACTGCTATGTCTCGGGACAGTCGTTTCCAACGAGGAGGAGAATGGAGAACGGATGGGCGAGGATGGGACGAAGGACCCTAGCTGCAGTGCTCCTCCTGTGCGAAGACCGGATTCCGTGAGTATTGGCACATACGTAATCTCCTCTCGGCCTCGTTTCCGGAAATCGCTGATCTTCGGAGAGAGCATTCCTCCGTACATCCCCGGGTCGCCCGAAACCCGGGCGATTTTGGGATCCTCCACGTGAAATAGTTTCGCGGCGCTTTGACGGGGATGGAGCTCCCGAAAATTTACTGCTCTCGTCGTACGTGCGGTAACTTAGGGCGCAAGGAAAGAGACGCGCGCTCGCTCTCGCGATGGTGATGGAAGCGGGTAAGCACGCTTCCCGCCGCGCCGATTTAAAGTTGAAGAGCCCCGTCGATTCCGAGGCGATGACTCTTCTCTGGATTCCCGTCGGGTGACGTCGTTTCTCTTTATCGCGCTCAACCGTATAGGTATAAGTGTGCGCCTCGTGGTTTATGTTGCGGGTATGTATGTGTAACATACATACGAATTTTATGTATGATACATACGAACTACACTGGCTTATCATTTGAATTTGATGAGACATGTTAACGACATGTTCCGCGGCGCTATCTGGAAGATATCAATAATGTTTCAAAGATTTTTGATAATTGTTGTTATTGTTACTATGTACGTCTCTCTTAATAACTTTACTCAACAAAAACATGAATGAGGACGAAGGTTCGTTTCATGAAAACGAATTGTCGTTTTTTAAGCACCCCGTTTTATAAATCTCGTTTATCAAATTACTCCATCACATCACGTATTTTGAGAAGTTTATCATTAAATTTACAAAAAGAACTATTTTAATGTTTTAATATATTATGAGAATATACGTTAGAATTTTCAATCCTTAAATGTATTTATAGTATCGATTATGGCAAAAAAATTTATGATTAATATTAGTCTATTACAACTCTACATTTAATATAAATACATATAAAATTATATGACTTAAGGGTCTATTAAATATTTTTTTATGATAATCAAAATAAAAATTTTTCGGGTTGCTGAATACTAATTTAATGTCAAAGTTAATAAATTCAAAAGGCAAAATTAATATGGATGTCGAAATTAATAAATATTTAAATTTTCATAAAAAAATCATGTAAGGATATGAAAAGGTTTTTCATACAACTTAAATTGAATTTATCAACTTTAATATCAAATTAGTATTCAGGAAAAATTTTTAAATAACATAATTAAAGAATATTTAGTATAGAACTTTCTAATGGCTTATATAAGTTGAGATTTTGATAGATACTATATTAATCGTAAATATCTTTTTAATCATAAGCGACACAATTAATTCTTTTCAAGAGCTGAAAGTTTCAATAACATACATAATTTTGATTGCAATAAAACTTCTTCAACACGTCACGTATCATAAAATAATACATATGTCAAGATACTCTAAAATAGTTCTTTTTGCAACGTTAACCACAAATTTCTCAAAATTGATAAAACAATTTACAAAAAACAAGATTGCCAAAAGAACCGTGACAAATAATTACTCTTATTCTGTGCTTGAAAAAGTCATTTTTTGTTAACTACTTATCATACTTTTTAATAGAATATTCTGGAAATTGATTAAAATTTTAATTATTATAATAATTATAAAAATCTTGATAAATGTAGCCATTATTGTTGCCCAAATTAAATCACGTCACTCAATCCCGTAATCGCTCTTACACATATCTGTTCATCTCTTTTCCATTTATTATCGGTATTCACAGTTCAAGTGATATCGATTATCGCTATTCCCCTTTTGGCTTCTCTTATTGTGCAGTATAGAAATTAACTGATATCGGCAAGTTAATTATCAATTAATGGCCAGGCAGCATTAATTAATTTTTTTAAATAAAAATTTAAATAGTTAACGAATTAATAGAATTATTAAATATTCATTTGAAATATTCACAAAGTTTCTCTTCGTTTGGACGGAAAAATATTTATGGAAATTAATTTATTATTATTACGTTTTTCCAATTTTATACATCCCGATAAAAATGAAATTGCGTAATTTCAATAAATCGGGAAAAAGTTAAATTAAGTCGTGACTTTTTTTTCATAATGATTTAATCTCATTCGATTTGTCCGGGACCGCAAAAATTTTAACAAATTGCAAAATTTATACAACTCGCACAAATTTAAACATTACAGAACCGTTGAATGAAACGGTAAGTTTCTCAAAGCTTTTTGAAAGCGTAAAAAGTGGGCTGACATATGGATTTACCGTGTAAAGCTTCCGAAAGCTTTCCGTCATTCGGCGTTACATCGATAACTTGCACCTGCGGACAGTTATAGAACGAATCTATCAGGCGGCTATATCGGCGCGATACGCGTGCGTGTCCGTACGTACTTTCGCGCTCGAAAATCGCCAACCGAGGTGAGAGTGATTCCCCAGATCGATAAGCGGAAATAGTGGGTGTTCCTCTAAAAGCCCGATCGCACGGTGTCTAGCCCCGGTAAAGCGGGGTTACTCGTGCAAGATTACGGTCGAATGACTATCGGCTTGTGATAAATTCTCACAAGTTTAAAGGATGCCGTAATGGATTCGGGTTATATATCTTCCCGGACGGTAGTTGCTCGCCGGTTTTCTGACGGGAAAGAGAGAGAGAGAAAGAGAGAGAGGAGGGAGAGAGAGAGAGAGAGAGAGAGGACGAGGAGACTGCAAGCAGTGCAAGCGCGAATCGGTCGCGCCGGTGGAGCGAATCGCCATGGCGTATACCGTCATCAGGCGATTCTCGATTCCGGATATTTCG